TTAGGTAGGTAGGTAGATAAAGGGAGAGAGAGAGAGAGAAATACAGTAGAGAGGGAGGGAGAGAGAGTGTGTGTAGGTAGGTAGGTAGGGAGAAGGATAGAGAGAGAAACACGGAGAGAGAGAAATACAGTAGATGGGTAGGGAGAGAGAGAGTAGTTAGTTAGTTAGTTAGTTAGTTAGTTAGTTAGTTAGGTAGGTAGGTAGGTAGGTAGATAAAGGGATAGAGAGAGAGAAATACAGTAGGGTGGGGGGCAAAAACGAGTAAAAACCGGCCCTTTTTTGCAAAAACGGGCCCGTTTTTTGTCAAAGAATTGCATGCATAGCCCAATGGAGGCTTATAGAGTGCTGCTGGGAGCTGTGGAGGCAAAAAACGGCCTCCCTATCCCCCAGGTATGAACGGCCATTTTGGTGAAGGGGCGGGGCTTTGGGGGACAAAAAAAGGCTGTATTCGGTGTATAAGATGCACCCAGATTTTCAGCCACTTTTTTGAGGGAGGGAAAAAGGTGTGTCTTATAGTCACACAAATACGGTATTCTTTACACTCTTTCTAGAGTTTCAACATCTTTTTTTCACATCATGGCAACCAAAACTGGATGCAGTGTTCCACGTGTGGCCTTACCAAGAAAGTGGTATTAACACTTCACGTGATCTTGATTCTATCCCTCCATTTATGCAGCCTAGAACTGTGTTGTCTTTTTTGGCAGCTGCTGCACACGGCTGGCTCATATTTAAATGGTTGTTCACTAGGACTCCAAGATCCCTTTCATAGTTCCTACCATTGAGTGAGGTACCGCATACTGCACCTGTGCATTTTATTTTTCTTGCCTAAATGTAGAACCTTATTTTTTTCACCATTTTTTCACCCATTTAATGTCCCCTCTATCACCTTTATAAGTAAGGTGTTCAACTTCCCAATTGTGGATACCTTCTAAACAAGATAGAAACTATGCGAGGAAATAGTTCAGAAGAGTGAAAGGTTTAGGGCAGAATTCCAGATAACAATAATTGGAGGTCTGGATTTGTTCCCCTACAAATCCAGGTCAAGGACGTTCATTGGTTGATGTCTTACATCGTTTTACTGTTCAGAATTACTCTCAGAGGCTGCAGTAGAATAAATCAAAAGGGCAACCAAACCATTCAAGTATAAGTGCGAGTCAGTCAGACCCAATAATTTCTGACAGCATTTGCAACAGAGCAGGAGGAAATAATCTTGTCAGCAAGAATAGACTTGGTGAAGATATCAAACCAGAAAATTTGTTCAGCTGGTATTTCAAGCAGTATATTCTCAGGCTACCATCCATGGTTACAATTCCAGGCAAAGCAGTGCATTTTTGGCCCAAATCAGTTAATTCAATGCCTGGACAAACATTACCTGTTTAATTTCTTTCTAACAGGCTGTTGTTAATCCTCAGGACAGAGCCAGCAAAAGGTATTTTCTGTTTTTCTTAGATTTGGCAAGTCAGCTGAGACAACTTTGAAGATGGGCCAACTCTACAACTCAATAAGAAAATGCCAGTTCCTAAGTTAACTGTATTTCCATGCCAAAAACCCTTTTAAATTTGATACAAGGGAAAGTATGTAGTTGAAACGATTGAAATTTCAACTACGTTATAATTTTAAAGACTTTTTTTTATAAAATGATGCGCTGTTGTGATGTGTCACCAGATAAATTATCTAGAATATGTAAAGGCGTTTCAAATTCTGCTAGAAACATGAGCAACAAGAAGAGAAATTTTTATCAAGTTTGATGGGTGTATAAAAATGTTAGAAAAATTTGGATTCAAATTAGACTGTGATTCTGAATATTTTAAAGATTAATTGAGACCGATGGAAAAACAGTCAGAAAAGTCATGGAATTTTGTTTTCGTATATGACAACTGTAGTGAGATTATTGTATGCATGAAGAAGGAAATATTTGACAATATCTGAAATGAAGGATAAAGAGGATGGAACTCACTGAGATGACTAAATAGACTTCTTTGATCAGAAAAATGATAATATTTGCATTTACTATTGACTAGAAATCTATTTTGTTGGAAGGGTGTCCCTACCAACAAAATGTGTATAGTCAAGGCTATGGTTTTCCCAGTTGCAATGTATGGCTGTGAAAGTTGGACCATAAGGAAAGCTGAGTGCCAAAGAATGGAGGCCTTTCAACTATGGTGCTGGAGAAGACTCCTGCAAGTCCCTTGGACTGCAAGGTGATACAATCAGTCAGTCCTAGAGGAGATCAACCCTGAATGCTCTTTAGAAGACCAGATCCTCAAGATGAAACTTAAATACTAATGAGAAGGAAGGACTCACTGGAGAAGAGCCTAATGCTGGGAACGATTGCGGGCAAAAGAAGAATGGGACTACAGAGAATGAGGTGGCTGGATGGAGACACTGAAGCAGTCTGCATGAGTTTAAATAGACTCTGGGGAATGGTAGAGGACAGAAAGCCCTAGAGGAATGTTGCCCATGAGGTTGCGATGGGTTGGACTCAACTTTGCAACTAATAACAGCAACAACAGAAGTCCTTAGGAACTTTTTGCAGAAAAGAAGAAAAAAATGAATTTATGATGATGATTAGACTGTAGAAATTAGATTCTAGAAAGAAGATAGAGATGTAACTTTAGAAAAAAGGGGTAAATTTATACCTGCACTTATAACTTGTAGAGAACATCAAAATCTTTTTGCTTTCTTTTCTCTTGTCTTTTTACTTTTTTTTCCTTTCTTGTACTTTTTAGCTTACTTCGGTTTTCTTTTTTTTTCTTTTTGACTTCATATTATTTATATAGTTTGTTTATATAAATTATTTTTAAAAAGTTAAAATAAGAAAACCCATTTAACGTTGGTGGACTGGGACAAAGACCTACTTTCCACATTTACACTTATTTGCTGACCACACCTTCAGAGGATTCAGAAGATTCCTTGAAATGGTGACCTTCTACCGCTGCAGCATAGAGAGTATTTTAACTTACTGCACCTGTGTATGGTATGCCAATTGCACAGTGGAAGATAGGACAGTACTCCAGGGAGTTAATGCCATTGCCCAGAGGATTATTGGTTGCCCTCTCCCTTGTTTGGAAGAGCTTTATAACTTCCACTGCCTTAAGAAAGTTCAAAATATCCTTAAAGACCCATCTCATCCTGGGCACCCTTTTTTTTTTTTGAACTATTACCATCGGGCAGACAGTACAGGACAATAAAAACAAGGACAAACAGGATGAAAAACAACTTCCATTCCAGGGCATTAACTATATTGAATTTTACTGTATAGTGCAATATTAATGTAATATCGGGTTTCCAGTTCATTTGTAGAGAATGTGAAGGATGTGTGTTTTATTTTTATAGCTATAATGTACATTGAAGATGGCATTTGATTTTGTTGTACGAGGTGCAATGGCAATAAACTAAACTAAACTAAACTAAACTAAACTAAACTAAACTAAACTAAACTAAACTAAACTAAACTAAACT